TTAAAGGGTTAGTTCACCCAAAAATGAAAAATCTGTCATTTATTACTCACCCTCATGTCGTTTCAAACCCGTAAGACCTTCGTTCATCTTCGGAACACAAATTAAGATATTTTTGATGGAATCTAAGAGCTCTCTGAACCTCCCATAGACAGCAAGTGTCCTAACACGATCAAGGCCCAGAAACATAGCAAGGAGATCGGTAAAATAATTCATGTGACATCAGGGGTTCAACCATAATTTTACAAAGCTACGAGAATACTTTTTGTGCGCAAAAGAAAAAAAATAACGACTTTATTCAACAATTCGTCGCCTCCACGTCACCCTGGTGCCATTTTGGAGAGTATCCGCTGGACGTAAATTGCGTATGCTGTTCTGTGTCAGCTGTGCCACGCGGATACGTTGTTTTCGTTCAAATCAAAGCGTAAACGACGTAAACAGCGTATCCGCGTGGCCACACGGATTATTTTACCGATGTCCTTGCTATGTTTCTGTAAGTTGATCGTGGTAATATCCTTGCTGTATATGGAGTGTCAGAGAGCTCTTAGATTCCATCAAAAATAACTTAATTTGTGTTCCAAAGATGAACGGAGGTCTTACGGGTTTGGAACGACATGAGGGTGAGTAATTAATGACAGAATTTTCATTTTTGGGTGAACTATCCCTTTAATGGTTTCCGGGTCTATATGTACTCGTGGGTGGTACATTATGTATTAGCGTATGCAGACAGTCACAGCATCACCACACCTTTGAGTGCTGTTTTATCACAGGGTCATCTTCTGACCGTGTATCTGTAAGAGAATGGAACATCTGTGAGTTCTTACCAAAATTGTGTGTAAAATAGGGTTCAAGTTAGAATTTTCTCACGTTTATCACATGTAATTTAAAATTCATGTTCTTAGAAATTTACTCTTTGTAATCATGTTGGTTTCATATGGGTTAAAAAGAAGTTTAGGTTTAATGACTTCAATGTAAACATCTTGTCATTATTTTATTAAATGTTTTTAAATTCATTTTTAAGATAAAAACATTTTTTTACGAATTATTATTTATAAATATTGTTATGTTTGTTGGGGCTCACACCACTTGACATCAACCTGAACTATCACCGTCACTAAAATTTAGATAAATGTTATTAAGAATTTCATTACTTGATTTTTTTTCTCGTTACAATAATTTGACAGTATGACACCATCTTAAAACTTTGTCTTTGCCCAAAAATATATGAAGTATACACTACTGTTTAAAAGTTTGGGGTTTGGTAAGATTTTGAAAATGTTTTTGCAAGAAGTCCCTTAGGCTGCATTTATTTCATCAATAATATAGAAAAAAAAGTAATGTTGTGAAATATTATTAAAATTCAAAATAATATGTTTTAAAATGTACTTTATTCCTGTGAGGGCAAAGCCAAATTTATAGCAGCCATTACTTCAGTGTCACATGATACTTCAGAAATCATTCGAATATGCTGATTTGGTGCTCAAAAATTATTTCTTCTTATTATTATCAATATTGAAAACATTTGTGCTGCTTAATATTTTTGTGTATTTTTCAGGATTCTTTGATGAATAGAATGTTCAAAGGAATAGCATTTATTTGAAATAGAAATCTGTCACTTTTAATGCAAACTTGTTCAATAAAAGTATTAATTAAAACAATTTACTCAGAGTCTAGAGACCTGTGCTGAGCGGGGCAGTGGTGTCCACTGCAGAGGCGGCAGCGCTGGGGGCGGAGTCTGCAGTGGCCAATGAGCTCAATTGTGAGGGAAATTGGGTGGGGCCAGCTTCCAGCAGACGAGACAGTGTGGGAGCACCTGAGACACACGTGTGCAAACACAAGTGTGGCACAGCGTACAACACACACACACGGTGCACAGAGAGAGCAGGCTAGGCATTAAGCTGGAAGAGATTCCCATAACATTACTCTAATACACAAAGACAGAAAACACAAAGATGCTGACGGGACAGAATTTGTCACTTTGCTTCTACTGCTCAGCTGCTAAACTGTGACACTGCTAGACACACAAGTGTGTATGAACTCATACCAGACAGTGTGGGAGCACCTGAGACACACGTGTACAAACACAAGTGTGGCACAGCGTACAACACACACACACACGGTGCACAGAGAGAGCAGGCTAGGCATTAAGCTGGAAGAGATTCCCATAACATGACTCTAATACACAAAGACAGAAAACACAAAGATGCTGATGGGACAGAATTTGTCACTTTGCTTCTACTGCTCAGCTGCTAAACTGTGACACTGCTAGACACACAAGTGTGTATGAACTCATACCTGTCGCTGCCTGAGAGGCAGGTAGTGAAGAAGTCATCATCTGATTATCGTGACTCCCTGTAAGTTGACTGGACGGAGATTCTCCCTCAACTGCCTGCAATAAGGATTTTCTTTAAATTGCCACCGTTTAAAAGCCACTGACTCAAAAAACATATTCCAACAATAATATTCTAGAAACAAAACAGCTCTGATATGTGTGGATGAAAAAGTTGTATCGCTTTTACAGGGTTCCTACACATGACATTTCCAGTCATTTGTGGATAAGGATTTTTAAAAATGTTTTTTTAGAGCTTGATCTCACAAAGAGTAATTTCTAGCCAAAGAAATAATTTATATTAATGATTAGGATTTAAAGGGGTCATATGATGCGATTTCAATTTTTCCTTTCTCTTTGAAGTGTTACAAGCTCTTGGTGCATAAAGAAGATCTGTAAAGTTGCAAAGACTAAAGTCTCAAATCCAAAAAGATATTCTTTATATATTGAGCATACAGAATGTGAGCAAATTTATATTGACTATATCAATTTGCAAAAATTTTTTTAATGACCTCTTAATATTTTATTAGTATTCAGGATTTTTCAACACCTGAAAATCACACTTTTTAGGAACCCTGCTTTTTTTTCTTTTCTTTTTATTTTACTTTTTTATTTATTTATTTATTGTCAATTTATCATAACGTATGGTTAGGGCACAATTAATCACTACTACAGTACTGTTCAAAAGTTTGGGATCAGTAATTTATTATTATTATTATTATTATATTTATTTACTTTGTATACTTTTATTTAGAAAGATGCATTAAATTGACTATACATGTGTAATGTTGTTAAAAAAATTCTTTTTCAATACACGCAAATCTATTCATCGAAGAATCCTCCAAAACATCTCAGTAATTTCACAAAAATATTAAGCAGTACAACTATGGCGTTATTTTAATGACAAATGTCGAGAGCGCATTATTGTAGCGCGAAAGCACATTAATATAAGTGAGAGGAGAGACATGTTTTAAGTGTGCGCACTCTCTCTGGGTGAGAGCAGCATGTATCTGAGCGCGAGCGTCTGGTTTTGTGCGAGAGCAAAGGAAATCCGCGCGTGAGCGGAGAGATTTGTGCTCACGCATTATATTAATGTGCTTTCGCGCTACAATAATGCGCTCTCGACATTTGTCATTAAAATAACGCCATATACAACCATTTCAATGTTTCTTGAACAGCAAATCAGCATATTAGAATGATTTGTGAAGGATCATGTGACACTGAAGACTGGAGTAATGATGCTGAAAATTCAGCTTTGCTATCACAGGAATAAATTACACTTTTGAAATATATAAAAATTTAAAAAAGATATGATAATGATTCACTATTTTCCTGTATTTTTGATTTTTTTTTTTTAAATGCAGCCTTGAATAAATGCAGCATAAGAGACTTCTTTCAAAAACATAGAAAAATCTTACCGACCCCAAATTTTTGAACACATAGAATCTGCACATTTTTCTGCATTCTCTTCACTCAAAACCAGCAGAATAGATACAATTTTAAACAGATCTTATTGGTAGCTAAACATATTATTAAAATAGGCTAAATATAATGGGCAGGATAAGTGTAGAACTTTGTGAAGGAATCTCACAACTAGATTTCTGTAGGTCAGGTGCAGATTCTATGCAGGCCTGCTGATTTCTAAATAAATGTGAGGAATCCTGACCAGTCTGGGGCTGGTGGGCAGAAGACTGCCTTTCTTCAGCAGTTCTGACAGGAGAGGAGAGGGAGGTGGCGTGATTTTCTGACCCAAAAGCTTCTTCTGTGTTGACTCATCTAGCAGTGACCCCAAACTCGCCTCTACCATTCCAGGGCCTGGCAGCTCCGTCAGAGGCACAAACACTGTTGATCCTGCCCCCTGCACCGGGGAGGGATGATAATTAAAATAAATAACAAATTCAAATGACAGAATTCAAATCTAAAAATTCAAAACAAAGAAACACACAGTGGTGCTAGGATCTTCAGATGGATCTCCAATGGGAAAATCCAGGCTCGGTGAGCAGGCCCAAGAGGGGGAGCGCACTGTCACACTGGGCACACGTTTAGGAGTGTTCTTCACTGCCTGCCTGGCTGAAAAGAAAAGATAAACAGCTCTTACTATTAAGCATTTATGATTAACTGAAACTACATTCATGAATAACTGTTTTTGCCTCATATAGAATCTCAGATTTGCCCAATTATGTAATAAACACTTCAATATGCATTAATTACTTTAAGACAATGGGACCAAACCAAACAACGCTAATGACACTTTGTGGGCTTTCTTTACATACCCTGGTACGCTGCATCTGTGGCCTTTCTTTTCACCTCAGCTTCCTCTTCCCCTTGTTTTCTGCTCCTAATGGACATACAGAATTTAAATCGCTAAACTGACAAACATTCACTTACAATCTTAAAAAGGGTAGTTCATCAAATTGAAAATTCTATGATTATTTACTCAGCTTCTTATTGTTGCAAACCTGTGGAATTTTTAAAGGATCTTAAAGGTTTAGTTCACCCAAAAATGAAAATTAGCCCATAAATTACACAACAGTTCATAGTGAGCATGGGCTGTCAAGCACAAAAGATTGTCAATTTCAGTGTTATTGTTAACTAAAAAACCGATAACTGGCATAAAGCTGAAATAAAATAAAAAACTTAAAAACCTAAAAAAAAAGGGAGATAAATACATTTAAATTACTAAAATTAAAACATAAATAATAATAATAATAAATTGAAGCTAAATAGAAATATAAAAAAAACAAAAGGCACATAAACTTATTAAAACTTAAAACTAAAATTAAAATAAAAACTTAAAATATAAAAAAGCTCAAAATACTAATAAATACAACAATAGTATATAAATGATATGATCATGCGCTACATTGATATGATTTACATATGATAGCTTTATGTGAGGAACATAATGATAGTCACTATGAACTGTTGTGAATGAAAAATATCTATGTTAATTTAAAAAAAACTAAACTGAACTAAACTAAACTAAAAAATAAACTAAAATTTAAAAAAGCATATAAATAATAAATAATATAAAAGGACCACAAAACCAGTCATAAGAGTAAATTTTTCGAAATTGAGATTTATATATCATCTGAAAGCTGAATAAAAAGCTTTCCATTGATGTATGGTTTGTTAGGATTGGACAATATTTGGCTGAGATGCAACTATTTGAAAATCTGGAATCTGAGGGTGCAAAAAAAAAAATCTAAATATTGAGAAAGTTGTCCAAATGAAGTTCTTAGCAATGCATATTACTAATCAAAAATTACCTTTTGATATATTTACGGCAGTACATTCACAAAATATCTTCATGGAACATGCTCTTCCCTTA